CATCACCATCAGCAACCCCCTAATAAAAGAGAACAGATTCTAGTCTCATATGATTCTGAATTATCAAATGGTAAGAATTTTTCTTGTGCTAATCTTTGAGTAGCGACTTGTTGTGTACCAACTGTTTCTGTTTGATATTTATGACGCAACTAAACAATAAAACGGGCTGCGGTATCAATATTATTACCAGTGTGTTAAGCAAGTATATTTGTATATTTTCTAGCCATCTTACTTTTAAAATATCTGCTCAAAGCGAATTATCAAAGGCAGCTGCAGTAATTGATGATAAAGTTAATATTTGATTAATTCTTTGATACTATTCATCTGGTGAAATTTGTCTACTATAATTTGGAATCTCTGCAATTAATGGTGTAATACTGGTTAAGTCTCCTGCAACTGTAGCCATATTTGGTAGATTATTATATAACAATAAAATTTGTGCTTGTAAATTATTTATTAATTGTTCAACATTTTGAGCATGATTTTTTCACTTACCCCACTTGTTGTCTAGTTGAACATCAGCAAGTAATAGATCATTTTCTAGAGTCTTGCATTAATTTTTCTATTTGATATATCGATTTCTTGTAAGATTTAAGATATGTGTGGTTGTCGCTCCATCAGCTTCACAATTTTGTAATTGCTTTTGAGTTTGTCTATTCAAAAGTCACAATGTAAATTTTTCTGCTAACAACTCTGATATTTGTCTTTTTTGCATACGGATTGTAATTCGACTATCAAGTTCTTGAGATTTAAATATATTGTGTTGTGTTCTGTGAGCCTCATAAGCCTGATGAAGAAGGCTGTAGTCATTTTGAAGCATAGCTAACTGGGTTTGTAAATCAGTTAACTGGGTTTGTAAATCGGCTAACTGGGTTTGTAAATCAGCTAACTGGGTTTGCAAATCTGCTACTTGATTTTCTGCATTAATTGCACGAGTATTTGCTTGTAGATATATATCTAGTACCAATCTTTCAAACCTATTGCCAGCATCTGAAATTATATTAAAATAATCTACAATACTATTTATTGTAGGTGCTATTGTAACTGGGCTTTAAAAATACTGTCTAATATTATTAATCTCTTGCTGAATTCTATTATTTTGGATCGTGGCTTGTTTTTCAGGTAGAGATAATCTAGGTGATTCTGGTTGTTGTGCCATCTCTATAGTATCATTGGAATTTTTATACAAAACAAGTATTTTTTCATTAAGCTTGTCTATTTTATTCTAAAAAAATGCTAACTGCTTTTCTAAATAATTTATATAATTTTCTCACTTTTCAGATTCTTTAAATACATTTTCTAACTGTTTTATAAGATTAGAAATTTCTGATCTTAATAGATCTAGCTCCTTATCATGAATTGAGATTTCTTTTTCAAGATAATTAATATAATCCTCTTTTAAATCTAGATTACATTGTAATTTATGAAATCGATTTTTTATTATCTGCAAACTAGCTTTGAATTTTTTGATTGTTTTACTAAGTGGAGACACTATTGTATCCGATGGCATTGTACAAGTCTATAATATATCAACGCTTCTGAAAACTTTACCAAATAATAATTTATTAATATAGTAAAATGTATCGAAAATAAACCAACCTAGTATCATAATTAGTACTGATGAGGAATTGGCTCTAGTTTGCTGATTATTATTCTATCAACCAACAGGGTATCATTCCAACCCCAAAAATTATAGAAAGATCTTAAAGCAGAGGGGTATCAGTTTCTATATAAAAAGGTATATAAGTGGTTTACAAACCAGAATAAATAGCAAAAATACGCTCTATTACCAAAAGATACTTCACAGGTTAGTTATGGAAAAATTTCACGTCTAAATAGCATACATATGTGTGATTTGTTATGCCTCACAAATGATACTGTCAATAAAAAGACATACAAATAGGTACTTACTGTTGTAGATGTCGCATCCTGTTTTAAATAGGCTGTTCCATTGATATCAAAAAACAGTTCAGAAGTCACCAAAGCATTTAAGAAAATATATAATAATTCGAATATCTCTCTTACCTGGCCTGATTTATTACAATACGATGGCAGGCATGAATGGATGGGTGAGACTTCAAAAATAATAGAGGCATATAATGTTATAATCTGAGTTATAGGCCTGTATTCTTATCGAGGTCTTGCAATCGTAAACAGATTTTGTAAGACATTAGCAGAGATGCTATACAAAGTTCAATCTGCCATTGAAACTATATCTGGGAATTCTAAATTAATAAGGGCATGGGTTAAACATTCACCAAATATTCTTGAATATCTGAATAATTATCCAACACGACTTATACGAGCACCAGGATCAAAGAAATAGGGATTAGCACCTTTGAAGGCAATTAGATTGGATAGGATAGAGTCTAGACCATCTACAAAATACAAATGTTCAGTTGGTAAAGATGAAAAAAAATTAAAAAAGGGAGATACCATTCATTTTTTACTTGCTAATGCAGAATGGGAAGGAGGTATAAAAAATCAAAGGCATGCAACAAATGAGATTTGGAGCTCTTCTTTACATAAAATCCACAAAATTGTAATAACGAAAAACGAACCAATTTTATATTATTTAGATGGGGAATTTGCACCAACACGTGGGTTTGTACGTGAAGAATTAATGCTAATTGATCTCGAAAACTTCAGTATCTGCCTCAGAGTATATTAGAGGAAAACACTCATTCCAGGTCTGTTAATTTTGTTTGTATTATTAATAAAATAGCTAAAGCTGTTGCATATGCTGAGAAGCATGACAAAAAATATCTTGGTAAAATTGGCCAAATAAATAATTTTGATGTATATCTCTGGTCCTGTGAAAATGGAAAGCATCAGTGGGAATATTCATATCTATTAATGGTTACAAAATTTGAATGGTATCCACTTTGCTTCTATCACACCGATGAGCGTTGCTGTAGATATATTTTCAAAGATCTGTTAAGTAAGAAATTTCTTATTTTTGAATAAGATGCAATTAGATAGGTATAATAAAGAGCTAAAATTGGCATACGAATTCCAGAGAGTTCAACACTACCATCGCAATAGTTTATATCACAAAAATCAAGATAATCTAGATAATCAAAGAAAACGCAACCAAAAAAAGCAGGAAATATGCAAAGAACGAGATATAGATCTTATTGAAATACCGTATAGTGCTGATTTATTTCTATATATAAAATGCAAATTGCAAGAGAAAGGTTATTTACAAAATATAGATATAAATAGCATGTCAAAATCAGATTATTCGTTAGAATAAAAAAACATAATATATATTTATAACAAAAAGATGTTATATTGTATATTTGCCATAGATGAGGTAAAACCTTTGAAAAAATACCAGAGAGATAAAGATGCACCAGCATGGCCTTTTCGTATTGTGATGGCAGGGGCTAGCAATTCAGGTTAAACCAATATGAATTTAAACTTGCTAACAATGCCCAAATTTTATTATATGTTTAAGAAGAAAAAGCATTATAAGATAGGGAATGCAATGTTAAATGTGATGATGTATTTCTTTTCAGACATCATTTAAATGAGCCTAAATATAAAATAGTTCAAGATTTTTATAAATATCTTGTCCAAGACAAATCAAAGCCCTATTATAAAGATGTTACATTTTCTACACTATCTCCTGATAAAATTCCAGATCCTAAAAAATTTAATGCTAAAAGAAGTACATTAGCAATATTTGAAGATCTTTACTCTGACCCCCAGCTATACAGAAAAAAATTATTCTATTTTTCACTCAAGATCATCATGAGAATATTTCCTCAATTTATGTTGCTCAGAAATTTTACAAAATCCCAATAGATATTTGTGAAAATGCTACTCACATTGTTCTCTTTAATGGTAGGGACTCTATTCGAAAACTTGCAAATATTATAAGTTCTTACACTGATGTAGATTCGTGAAAAGCTTCAAAAATTATTAATAGTTATTTGAGACAAAAAAAGTTTATAGTTATAGATCTGAATAAACCCAGATCTAAGTCTTTCTCACTTTAATAGGACACCTCTTTTGATCTAGAAAAGGAGATCGAGGAATTAAAAGATAATAAACATTCTGCCTAACCAGAGTGATATTTCAGAAGATATAATACTTTAAAATTGGATAAAATAAGGCATAACAATTGAATAATTATTTTTTTAGTTATTTATTAATACAACAATATAAGTACTTTCTACTTACCACTTCTATTAAGAAGCTGTCTGTATCCAGCCATGATTGGAATTGGGGTGGATGATTTTAACATCTTATTCGCTACTATTCTCCAATGAAATAGCTATCAGTATCCAGCCTAATTGAGGTTAAAGTAGATGTTGAAAAATAAATAAATTCTGTAGTTTATTTGTACCAAGAAGATTTTTGTGCTGGGTAAAATAGGTTGATATGAAAAATCAAAGTAAAAAATATTACCAGCCCTCAGGGATAATGAAATAAAGTCTAAAGTACAGTTGAACCTCCATAATTGCACCCTCTATAATTGTACCTATATATAAATTTTCTCTAAATGAACACCTTGGCCTGGTTCTAAATATATAAAAACATAGTAAAAATACTCTTTATAAATGCACACCCTCACTAAATGAACATTTTTAAAAATTTGTCCTATGGTCCCAAGGGGGTGCAATTATAGAGGTTCGACTATACTAGCCCTCGGAAATACTTTAGGTTGTTTTATTTTAAATAGATATATATATGAATAAGTTATATAATTAATAAATCGAATAAATAGATTAAATCAAATAAATAAATATATGAATTGCTTTGCAGACATGGTCTATACATTGTTAATTTGGCACATTTCCTCTTGAATTCCCCTTAAGAGTTTATAATGTTGAGCAAGTTCTGTTGCACACATATTTTCAGATCTGTAGAAATACTCTAGCCATTTTCTTTGTATAGTTGTATATGCTCAGATCTTTTTTGCTGTTTCTCAAATATGTTTAACTCTATTAATAAGATTCTCTATTTGTAATTCATATCGATAAATGGCTAACCTTGTGTAAATATCACTTTCTACTTCTGGTTTTTGTTTAAGCTCCATATACTCTTTGAAACATATATCACAATGTCTATTTCCAGTACAATTTGTATGCCAATATTCCTCTATTTTATAATTGTGATATAATTAATATCCTACTCTTTTATCAATATAAACAAACTAATCACAGCTATAACATATAGCAATATTCACTTTAACCGCCATATGATAACTGAATCCTTCTATAGATTCCATCTTTCTGGCAATAAGATATCGCTTATTGTAATCAGTCAATTTATTGTTAT